TTGCCTTACAATGGAGTCATTTTCCACTTGAGTCTTCACGGTTCAATCCCTAAACCCTAAATTCCCACTCCCAACCCCACCTATCCTAAACCCCGAAACCTTAAATCCTAAGTTCGCAAGCACAAGCCCTAATCGATCTTAAACCCCAACCCATCCCTCCTTCCTCTACTGTAGCCCTGGAGCACCCTAAATCTTAAACCCTAATCCCTAAACCCTAAAAAGGGGTCCTCAATAGGGATTATAGACGGATCCTTCTGAAAAAACTTCCACTGTGCGGTTTAGGTTGAGAGCTTGAACTTTAGCCTGTGGGGTTGATCCTGGATCACAGACCTCAAACTTGCTTTCAGAAATCTAGATTTAGAACGGCTTTGAAGTATAGGGTTTTGGGGTAGGGTTTAAGGTACTAGCACTGTTACAAGCACAACCTCTCCTCTGAATCCTGGAGCCAAAATGCTGGCATGCAAGGCTAGGTAAGCTTGTTATGAAAGTCAGACGCGGGTTTTTTGAAATCTGCGAAAACAAGTAGCAGTGTGAACCCACCAGCAATGCGCAAGACCTTACACTGCAAAACCCTAACCCTAAATCCTAAAACCCAAAATATCGGGCACAGACCTCTCCAGAATCTGGCATCAGAAAGTCCGCCTGACAGATGAGTGATTGCCGAGCACCAAGTCACTGTGATGAAGCTTACACGGTTTGGGGTCTAGAGCCTAGAGCTTAAACCCTAAACCCCAAACCCTTACTAACCCTAAGCCTAAACCCTAAACCCTAAACCCTAAACCCCAAACCCTTACTAACCCTAAACCCTAAACCCTATAAGGTTCAAGGGCTGGCGGCCCGGCTCCTACCTCGTAAGACTCCCCATTAGAAGGACCTCTAGTCTGGAGAAGTCCCAATCTTCCCCCACCACACAAACCCCTTCCCCTAAAACTAAACCGCCAACCCGGAGGACGCAGTGTAGGGTTTAGGGTTTAGGGTTCAGGGTTCAGGGTTTAGGGTTAGGGTTCAGGGTTTATGGTCACCAAAAATCATAAACATCACAATTGTTTCGGGCCACATGGGATTTTAAGGCGCAAGGGCTGTAACATACTGCGGGGAAGGCAGTGTTCTGTTGTGGTTGAGTCGCACGGGTTGTATAATGCGGACATAAGCCCTACACTACACTCTTAACCCTGATCCATAAAGCCAAAACCCTGAACTCTGAACCCTGAACCCTCAACTGATCCATAAGCCCTGAACCCTGAACTCCCTAAGCCATAGTCCCTGAACCCTAATCCCTCAACCCTCAACCCCAATCCGCGGCTGCTTTGAGATGATGGTCTGGGTTCTTAGCACAGGCAACTGATGCGCTTTGCGGCTGGAACGTAGAAAGCAAGATCTCCGGCTCAAGGTTTACGGCAAAGGGTTGCAGTTTAATGTCTAGGATTTAGGGTTGAGGGTTACAGGTTTAGGGGGTTTAGTGTTGAGGGATAAAGGTTGTGGGCATAGGCTTTAGGCTTTAAGGTCATTTAGGCTTGAGGGATTCTTGGGGTTCAGGTTCAAGGTTTGTGTTCTACGTGTCCAAGCGCGAAATCTGCAGCTGGGAAGAACACAGCATCCTCAAGGGCAAAACCCCACATAGTAAACCCTGTCGTCATTGGTGAACCTAACCCTAAACCCTAAACCCTAAACCCTAAACCTTAACAGTGTCAAACTCGGAGGGCTATGTAGGGATCGGAAAGGATTCGTGGCATACCTCTTAACACATGATTTAGGGTTTAGGGTTTGGGGCTTAAAGAGTAGGGGTACAGACGAATTCTGAAACATTTTTCTGTATCCTCTCATTTTGCAGACTTGGGCCCTTCTCAACATGCAGGCCACGTTTCGGATTCTAGGGGTATGCAAGGATTACCAGAGGAGTATAGGGGGGGGAGGGGTTCTAGTGAAGATTCTTGAAAGGTGAGATTGAGTAGGGCATACGAGAAGTATGTCATGGTATCAATGAAGGGGCCCACTAGATGTCCCTCTGCAAAAGCTCAATCTTAAACGCCACCGGATTTTGAGTTGCCATACCAACCAAACATCCCAAAATGAAATACCAATTTTTCAACCTCAGCAAGCATCCGAGAATCGAATCCCATGAGCGTCATGTCAAACCCTTAACGTTATGCCCTGAACTCTTTATGCGAAGCCGTATACTCTCAGCCGGTAATCCGAACCCTGTTTAGGTTTTGGGGTTTAGGTTTTAGGGTTTAGGGTTTATGGTAGGCTTTGAGGTAGGAAAGCGCAAAGTGATTGTGACCCCGCCTCTGAATATCCACGAGCAAGAACAGCTTTCGTAAAGCTGGGCTCCTGGAAAGGTTGAAGGTTCAGGGCTGTGGTGAGGCTTAAGTCCCTAGGATGAGGGAAGAGCAATAGAAATAACAGCAAGAACAATAGTAACGATAGTACCGACGGTAACAAGGGTAACAATAGTAACAGTAGGAACAAAAATAACAATAGTAAAAACAGTGAGAACAAAAATAACAGTAAGAACAATCATAGTCACACGCTTTCTGTGATAGTAAGAACAAGAATTGGGGGTTCAGCTGAGCTGATCTTGCAAGATATCCTCAGTTGCCAGGGTTGCAGTCACCACCACCACCGCCACCACTATCACCACCATCATTTTATGACTATTATCGAGATTGTCATCATTAGCACGGCGAAAAGTTTTTGAGAAATGTCTCCAACGGACGCAAACCTGGAATATGGGGTTCTTCATGCCTTCCGATACACTCATCAACAGGCAGCCCCGGCACATGAGGTTCTGGCATGTAACTAGATCAACACAAGCTTGGGCAACTTCTGAACCGGAAAACATCAGGATCTGCAACATCAACCTCTTTTGTATTTCAGAAATACCTACATGCGCGGTCGCTTCATGCACATGATGTATCATTCTCTCATACATCTGATTGTTCGGGGGGGAAGTTGTATTGTAAACATCGCATTTTCCGGGATATGGCAGTGTCCCAAGATGGGCAGACCCCAATGTAGACCCCCAAAATGCTATAATTATCCTTATCATAAGACCCCCAAGTAGGTATCCCTACTTTTGGGAAAACCAAAACTGCAAAGCCGAAACCCTACACACCCTACATACACCCTACATATTGGGAAACTGCGGGAAACATGTCCCAATTCAGACTCGAAACCGAAGCCGCACGCTCAAACCATTAGGGTTAAGGCTTTAGGGTTAAGGATTTAGGGTTCTGGTTTTGCTCGCTCGTTTAGGGTTGCTGTTCGATCTGTATAAGGTTTCTCATATGACGCCACTCCCGAACTGCGCTTGCATTCACTGGTCCCCCAACCACCCCTGAACCCTCACGCCTAAAACCCGACCCCGTAGCCTAAACCGTAAACCGCATGGTTATACGGCTGTTGATAAAGGAAACCTCGCATCGCCTCATATACCCTATGTCCCAGGACTGCCATGTCTTTGTAAGGGTTTCAAAGACGTCCAGGAATCCTGCATCCACCGAAATCTTAAACCCTGAGCCCTGAACCCTAAGTCTTCAACCCACTGGCCCCCAACCTTACATGAACTGTCATCTAAACTCCTTCAAGGGGGGTTATATGAGGGATTATACAGGGGAGTGGTATAAGGGTTATTGAGGGGGATACTAGAAGTTTAGACTATAACTCAAATCCTAAGCCTTACACTGTAAAGCCCTGAACCCCAAAACCGCAGACCCTAAAACTCCAAACCCTGCAGGCCTCAACTCACAAACCCTAGAGCCATAAACCTCAGAGTCTGAAACCTTAGGCCCCTTTAAGGTTGGGGCTACCAAAACCCTTAAACCATCCTTAAACCCTAAACCCTAAAACCCTAAACCTTAAAACCCTAAACCTTAAAACCCTAAAACCTTAAACCCGAAACTCTAAGACTCCTTGAGCATCGCTTGCAAGGGTGAAGGGGCTGCCTGCTGCTGAGGGGCCTCATCCTGACACTGCAAATTGGGGCACAGGGTTTGGCGGGGAGGACTTCGGGCTCGGGATCTTGAAGCTCACGGCTTAGGGCTTACCTGGACCCCCAAAGTATGTAAAATAATGGCCTTTAGGGCTGTTATTATGGGTTTAGGGCTCTTGTTCTGCATACTTTTGAGGTTTAGGTAGGGCTCTAAGGCTTCAGGTTCTAGGGCTTGAATTTTAAGGCTTAGAGTTTAGGGTTTTTGGCTTCGAGTTTAGGGTGAGGGTTTGGGTTGTGGGTGCAAGGACCTAACTGGCCTTGGAAGCTTGAATCTCGGAGGCGGCACTAGGGGCCTTGTTGTGGCCTTACCCGAGATTACCATACAGCAGTCCAGTAGTTTCGAAGGGGTACGCAAAGTAAAACGCTAAAGCGTAAGCCCTACCTAAACCCCAAAAGTATGTAGAATAATAGCCCTAAACCCATAATAACAACCATAAGGCCATTGTGTTACATACTTTTGGGGTCCAGGTAGACCTCATAGCTCCGACTGGCATCCTGGAGTGTCGTACTGTAGAGGTCTACTTAGTTAGAATCGGGTGCTTGGGGTATAGTATCATGGGATTTGGAACCCCAGTAGAAANNTTAGGATTCTAGGTAACAGAATTTAAAAAATATTTTCAGGAACCTTGTAGTAGTATAGTAGAATGAAGGAGAATGTTGGTAAGCAGTCGATCTTCTACAGTAAGCATTGTTTGGCCTTTGGGGTTTAGAGGAGGAGCTTGCAAGGCAAAACCCCGCCCACAACGGCAAGTAAAAGCCCGACGACAGCCGGTAGGCCTTCCCAGGCCTGCAGTTTAGATTTAGGGCTTAGGGTTAGGATTAGGGTTCAGGGTTTGGGGTTTAGGTTTAGGGTTCAAGTGACAGCAAACAGGCATGCAAAGCAATGCCTTCTTTTCTACTGCTGCGAAGCCACAACTCAAGGCCTGCGAGGCACAATCCAAGACTGTCCCTGGGTTTGCACATGCAAGCTTCAGCCCACCATAATTTAGTGTGCCGAGCTCGCAGAATCTTATATCTTGGATTTCATCCGCAAACTGGACTGCTTCCCAGACTCTAGTATCCCCTGCTCCTCTTCGAGAGTAAAGGAGTTGCTGGAAATCAACTCCAAGAGGGGAACCATGTGTGCCCCGACTAGCTTTGTAAGCCCGTCGGCCGGGTTTTTATTGTGAGGAACCCACCTGATACGCCCTTTGAGCGCCTTCAGTGACTCCTGAATCACAGCCATTTCGAGAGCCGATCGGTCATCCTCGCCCTGTGCCTGCTCACTGTGAACTCCATCGTAGAGGCTCTTGGCATCTACCACTGCCACTGCGTTCGGATCCACATAGGCGTTGCATTCACTGGCAACCGCCGAAGCTTGGCCTCTCATCTCGGCCTCCTCCGTGTCCTCGACAGTGATCTCGCGTGCCGTGAAAGATGCCGAAATCAGGCTTCTCCACATAGCAACTTGCCTTTCGAGAGCACCCAAGGCCGTGGAAAGGGCAATGCTTTCGCATAGTAGTGTATTGCCGGCCTTGCGCCGTAGCTTTCGTGAGCGCCACGACATGATGCTCACAGGACTTTTATCTCCACGATTGAACCCTGGGGTTGTGATACCTTGGAGCCATCCGTGTTGTGGTTTGACTCGACCTGATGGGTCGTGCGAGGAGTCCGATATAATGAAATGCCGTACCTGGCTTTCAGGAATCGCATGGATGACGAGGGTCACGGCATGGTTCTTAAGCTGGCCCAGGACCTCATTGAGCTCGTAGAGGTCCTCAATTGTCGGCGAGGGGAACCGTGAGGCTAGTATTGATGCGGCAGCTGCGCAGTCTGGCCTGCCTTCACGCGAAACCCAGTTCAGGGCGGCGAGGGCAGCCCTGTATTGCGTCACTTCCGCTTCATTCAACAGCACGGTTGCAGCATCCCTTTTCAGTACTCTCCTCTGCACGTTGACAGCTTTGATCCTGTGAAGGACGTAGTCATTCATTGTGTAACCAAAGCTGAAGTCGGAGTACTGCACGATGCGCTTGCCGGAGTAGCCCGTGCCATTCTCGACATCCAAAAGTCGAACGACCTTCCCGAACTTGAAGCGTTCCTCCAGGAGCTGCATTCGTCTGCGATGTTCCCCATCTCCCGCTTCCAGGAGGTCATCGACCTGAATGACGATGAAACCCCGAGTCTTGCCTGTTGCATGCTCTTGACCCACTGACTCCACTGTTCTTGCTGTCCGAGAAGTCGTGCAGGAAGTCGAGGTTCGGGTAGTCGCCGTAGTCGATGACGTCCGCGTCGCCTTCGTGCTTGCGGTCTCGCCGTCGTCGGAGGACAGGGGCTTCGGCTCGTCGGGAAGTGTCAGCACGCACTTGTCGTACGGATTAAGCTTGTAACCCAAGAACCGAAGCAGGTAGTCAATCAGCGTCCTCCGCCACCAGCTAGGTCCACTGCAAAGGCCGTAGACTTCCGTGTGGAGAAGTATCAATTGGCCTTCTTGGCATCCCGGGAACATACCGTCCTTGGGCATCGCGCATGCCAATTTCTGTTTCCTCGTCGTCGGCATGGCCTGAGAAAATGCTGATTTAGCATCTTTGATGTATGCCGGCCACTTCCGAGATGCCGCCACTTGGAGAGAAAGGTTCACTGAGGTGGAAAGCGGAGTCGGAGCGCTTCTTTCGATGGCATGTAGCATGGGATCCTGCTATCCCACTACGCACCATCGTGACTTCGGCTGAGCGCCACAGTTTCCGCCTTCTACGTAGTCGGAGGGGTCAAAGTCCTCCGCCAGTGCCGTGAATTCCTCCGTGGGCTTCCACCGGTCCACGAACTTAGACTCCAGGATGTGATCTCCATGAAGTTCACGAAACTTGTGACTCTCGTCCAGAGAAAGAATGGAGATGGCACCACTGTCGAGCAGAGCCTTGATCTCCTTGTGTCGGGCCTTCTCGAAGTGCTGCCTTTCCTGCGCGGACAGCCTCCGGAAAACCACCTGTCCTGGGGACTTCTTGGCCAGGAAGAAACGCCTGTCCTTGAAGCTATAGACTGCCATCGCCTCCTCGATGCTGAAGGTCCTTTTGGATCTTGCAATTGGTTCCCACCTGCCGCTCGCCTTGTCCTTCCACCACCGAGCTCCATCATCACTTCCCATCGCGTCATTGACCTCAAAGAAGTGAGAGATCACGTGGGAACTTCGTGTCGGTGGAGAAGGCCAAGTAGGTGGCGGCGCGGAGAATGGGTATGGGGTCGCCCGAGTCATGGCTGTAGGTGGCGCAACGGGTCCGAAACCTAAATGCCCTCCACTCGCTTCATCCACTCGAATGACTTGGCGATGAGGGAGATGATCTCAACTCCTTCGACCCCTCTATTGCCGTCAGATGCTTCTATCTGTGTCTCTATAGAGGTGCCCGTCGTGCTCGGTCTCCGCGATTCCAACGTAGGTGGAGTCGTCGCGCTCGGTCTCCGCGATTCCAACGTAGGCGGAGTCGTCGTGCTCGGTCTCCGCGATTCCAAAGTAGGTGAAGTCGTCGTGCTAGGCGTCTCCTCATTCATCTCCACGTTTTCTTCTCGAGGTGGATGCTCTTCCCCTCTGGATGATCTCCGCCATTGATGGGAGCCTCTATTTCCATGAGGTCAGGTTCGTCTGGTCCACCTTCACTTCGGATGTCTCGGTAGTTTCGAAGTTCTCCACTCTCTAGCTTCTCCAGCAGCTCGGAAGACAGGACCTTCACCAACTCGGCGCCCAAGCTCTCTTCGTTGGTGGCGTTCCGCACTTGCTCACGAGAAGCCTTGATGAGGTAGCCTCTCAAACTCATCCACAGTGAGCGACCATTGTCGGTTTGGTTGACCACCACGCCTGGTCCAACCCAGCCCACGTAGTCGACAGTGTGTCGCCACACGTAGACGGTGTCGCCGTTGGCCAGCTCCTTGAGGTCCGTGGCGCGAGTACGTGTCGACACAGCTCGTTGGATGGCCATCTCATCCTGGGACTGTGCCCATGCCTGCATTGCTTTGTTTCGCATGGCTTGTACCTGTCTCATGTTGTCGGAGTGCACGTGGTTCACCAGGTCACGGTCCATGGCATCGTCTGACAGCAACGCATAGGGAGTCCTCATACTTTTGCCGAAGACCCTTTGAAAGGGGGAAAACCCGGATCTGTCGTAGTACTGGTTCCGACACCAGACCGCGGCGTCAAGCGCCAGCTCGAACTCCTCGGAAGAGCATGCAGTCCGCTCGTCCAGGATCTTGGAAAGCACCGTCTTCAGGGAAGCGCCAGCTCTTTCGGTCCGGCTGTTCTGCCAGGGGCTGCGTACATCAATAAAATGTACCACAGTCCCCCATTCCCCGATGGCTTCGGAGAACTCTCGAGAGGCGAACTCCTTTCCCTGATCCACTACCACCATGGCAGGGGGTCCAAAGAACTTATGCCAGCCTCCCAGCACTGCACGTACCACGTTGCGGCTCTCCTTGTTGTCCACAATCATCGCCTGCTGGTATCCGGTCCCCCAGCACAAGCAGTTCACAATGACGTAGCGCTGGACAAACACCAGGTCGATGCCAACCACCGAGTTGAACTCAAGCTGCCGACTAAGGTGTGCTGGTCGGCGCGTGCCTGGCCTTTTTCGTCGCTGGCAGATCGGGCACTCAAACCTTCTCTTCACCCACTTGATGATTTCCATCTTGACTCCAGAATGTCGGAGTGCACGGCAGAAGGTTTGGTCATCAGGATGACCAAGATTGCGATGAATGCGGTATAGTTCCCGTCTCAACTCTGGAGGCGGTTCCACAACATCATCATCTTCATCTCTGCGAGGGTCTCGTTCTCGTACTTGTACGTCTCGAAGCTCCCGGCTGACCATCGTCTCATCATCTCGTTCGTCAGGCAGTTGTTCATGTGCTTCCTCGGCGTTTCCGAGCGTATCCAGAAACCTATCCAGGTCCTCGCCGTTGTCGTTCTCGGGCTCGTCCTGCTCGAAGCGAACTTGCCGACGGCCACGTCCCTCCAAAATTCTGCGCGACGGAAACAACTGACGATACTCGGCCTGGAAGGCTGTTTCTGAGGTCTGGTACTGGTACATGTCATGTGCAACCGCCCTGGCGAGCCAGTCAGCATAGTCTTCCATGGGTTGCGGTAACAAAATTGTAGGCACTGTCTCAAAATGAGTGGTGCCTGTCCAAAGCTGGCGATCTGGAGCGCCAGGTCTCGTAGTCGTCCAGGTATCCTGAACCACAATGGAGGAGCCGCCCACAAATTCCTTCGAAGTGGAGCGGCTGCCGGTGAACTTGACATGTGTCAGGTCGAAGACCGGACACTCGTGCGGCGTGATAGGTTGCCGCCGCGGTGCAAAATGTCGGCAAACAAGGTCGTTGCCACGCCATTCCCATTGATCGGGAATGCCAAAGACTGGAAAATGTTGGCGCCGCAAATGGCGCCGGAGGCCTTTGAGTATGGCATCCACAAAAGCCGAGGTGTATTTGGCCGCGTTAGCGGTCAGCTGTCCGCCCATCAAGGGCGTGTGGTAATGGTCGTGAGCGCATCTCTTCGCCAGGGCTTCCGCAATCTCCTTCACATTAGTGATGATGACCGTGGGCTTGAGATGCAGCGATCCATTTGGATCTCGAAGACCAAAGGCACACATATCCAGCACGACCCGCAGGACGTCGGGATGTTGCAGGACCTCCTCCATCTCTGATGTGCGCCAACTGGAAGCTCCTCGTGGGTGCTCGAAGATAAACCCACGACCTTCTCGAAGCTGCATCTTGGCCAAACTTAACGCAAAACGTAAGTGCACTCGTCCCTGTTCAACTTCGGCTTGCACCACCGCTGGATCCCGCTTGTGGTTGCTGAGGTGTCTCGTTGTGGAAAAAGGTCCACAAGGCGGGCACAACGTGATGAGTGCCGGCTGGTGCTCACGAAGTAGGCGTAGTGCTTCTCGACGCTGTTGGGGAACGGCAAAGCCCCAACCAGTTGCCAGGTCCATAGCCGTTCCAGGTCGAAGTCCATGTCGTTGAGCCCGTTCTGTCAGCCGTGGAGGCGAGTACACCTCGCTCACATCCACTCCTCCCTTAATCAGGGCTTGCTGAATGTCCTTGTTCACGGCCTTGGGAATGTGCTCCGACTTGCCGCTGGAATCGGCCATCCAGTTGACACACGCATCCTCCTTGTAGAAGGCGTAGCAGTACACCTTCTCGTGGTCGTCGTCGTTCGAAGGGCTCGTAGTGGACGACGATGTGGCATTCCAGGTAGTCGGGCAGCTAGAAGAGGAGCCCGCACTGGTACACAAGGGTTGTTGCGAAGCAGATTCCTTCCAGGAGAAGGTCCACGTTTCCGTGGCTTGATCCCATGTGCCCTGTTCTACGGGACTCCCGACGGGACTCCCGAACAGTTTGTCGGCACATGAGAAAGGCTGGGCAGTAACCGAGAACAGAACCATTAGTGCGCACAGCGACCAGCCTCGTCTCCGAAGTTCACTGCAAAGTCCTCGGAGAGGCGCTGCCTTGTGGTTCTCCAGCTGTTCTCCCGAAATCATCACTCTCGCCTTCCTTCGGGACTTGGCGTCATCACCTCGTCGAAGTCGTGTACCTCTGCCTCGGCTCGTCTCCCGGTCGGTGTCTTCGCCCGCCGGACTGGATGAATGCCGGACGGCAGCTCTCTCTTGATCGTGTTGGCCATCTCTTGACTGGCCCGCCGAAGAAGCAACTTGTCCAGTATTCGTGCCCGGCTTCCTCGTGGTCTTCTCCCATTCCGAGGTCTTCGTCGTGGTCTCCGTTCGACGTGTGATCACCGCCGCCTTGCCCTTCGTGTCGATCTCCACTTCTCGAGGTCCTTGTTCCGGCCGGCCCCGAGGTGCAGGAAGAAACTTGGGATATGCTCTTCCTCAGCGATCGATCACGTTCTTGGCATCCTCGGACGTGTTGGTGGGGATCTCGGCGTCGTTCTGTCCTTCCCAGGTCCTTCTCCATCTGCTTCCGCACTTGAGGCAGGTCCACCACGACGCCTTGCGGTTCGCCCTGCAACGAAGGTGATCCGGTCCGTGAGGGCACTCTTTGGGTTCGCACTGCCACGTCTTGTGACTCGTGGACCTTGGAAGAGGTTCTCCAATCCCTTGAGCGATGGGTCTGTTCGGGCTCTTCTTGCGCCGGGTCGAAGTCGCCGGTGGAGGTCATTGGCTCTTCCTTTGGTCCATTGCGGGTAAGCAGGTAGTCCGACACCATCTGGCGCCGAGCCGTGGCCAACATCCACAGGAGGTGTTGTACCATTCGCCTCCAGGCTGCCTCGCGCTTCTTCACACTCATAGAAGGTGTCCTTGCACTCTTGTCCTCCTGGTTCTCCTCCTCCACCATGCGATTCACTCGTGCCGCTAGGCTTGCCACGGTGCGCGTCTCGAAGTGGGAGAACGACGTTGGGAGATCCAGGAGGCCGCTCTAGAAAGCATTTGCTTGAGCATTCTGGGCATCGGCGACGAGGTGTCCATTCCTTCAAACACTGTTTCATAGTCATGCTCGCATTCATTCGCCATGCTTACTTCCAACTGTTGTGAAGGTTGACACGCGGACTCCAAGTAACGCACAGCGGTGAGCCCCGGGAAACCTACTTCTTGAAGACGGCCTACGTCGCTCCCAGACAACTGATCATGTGCACGTACGGTGTACAAAGTAATCGCAACCCTTCTCCCTGACCAAGCCATAGTTGCATGTAATCGTTTGGGGTCAAAGACGGTTGGACTATGGTGGGAGTTGATCACCTCGCCCGGGACGCGCTTGTTCCGTCTTATTTTCCATCTCACCTTCTCTCCGAGCTGCGCCGCTTTGGCTGGGTCAATCTCACGCCAAAGGCCGCCTCCTTGGGAAGGCTCCAAAAGTGGCTATGACATTGTTGTGGCCGGAGGCGTTGTGAAAATCCTGGTGAGGCTTGCTGGACATGTTAACGTTGACACTGAAGGAGGTCCAACTGCTAGGCCAGGACCCATTATCGTGGGCCTTCATGTGGGAGCGGAACCACTGGTTGACGTACTTGACAAAGTTCGGAAACTTTCCTGCGATCGTCGTCACTCCACACATCTTGCCATGCACATAAAGCCCAAAGGCTGCAGCTCCCGCATCCTTGCGTCTGGACACCAAGACCTCTCTTCCGTTCTTGCCGCGGAAGGACACCATCTCTAGCAGCCTCTCCATGGCCTCGGTCGAGAATTCACGCCTTTCCGACTGGCGACGGGCTTCTTCTTCGACGCCATTCTCCCGCAGCGTGGCCCATGCAGTCATCTCCTCCAGCGTCTCGAAGCTCTCGTCCTGCTGAAGTGCGGCGTCTTCGTCGCCGTGCTGCATGGCGGAGGTTGACATAGAAGTCGAAGCCGCAGCCGAGGTTGCCATAGAGGTCGAAGCCGCAGTCGAGGTCGAAGTTGCCTCGCCAGTGCTCGCCTCACCGCCCTGAAGTTCTGGTTCGACAGAAGACTGCATACACACGACGCGAAAAGGGTCGGATGTCCCGAGGGCAGCCGCACCATGCGTGTCTCGTGACCATCAGGAGTACGGAGGGTTTCATTGCTGAGGTCAATGATAGCGCCTACGGCCTCCAAGAAGGAGATGGGCAGCAAGGGCGGGGTCTGGAACTTGTCCGTGTCAGCCAAGACAGTGAAGCGCAACAAGCCGTGGATGCCGGCCACACCGACAGGAGCATCCACAATGCGTTGAATCCTGGCCTGGCCACCAATGCCCGCACATGGAACGGCATTAATTGCAGGAACTGAAACAACTTGCAGCCCATGTCGTCGAAGCTCGGTTTCCAGCTTTGCCATAGCTCTCTCACCAACCACGGCGTCCTCAGCGGCCGTGTCCACCAGCGCCTCGGCACCTGAGACCTGGACCCCGGCAAAGATCGAGATAACCTGGTCATAGCGGGCAAACTGCATGGAGGTCATGTAGTGAGACGCGGGCTGGCCATTGCCACGGCAGATGACGAACGTGGCCTGCTTGGTGTTGGGCTTGGAGGCCCCCTTCCCGGAGCCCTTGAGCGGACAGTCTCTAGTTAAAACATCGAGTACGGGATTGGAGGTCCTCTGCGCTGCCCCGCATCATCCCCTTGCCAAGTGTCCTTCTCGATGTTGACCGTGAAGAGCGGCCCTTCTTGCCAGAGCCTTTGCCAGAGCGTCCGCCTTCCTTGGCACTGCCCTTGCGTCTCACGAAGCCCCGCTCCTTGCGGCGGGTGTTCAAGTCCTTTCTCCCATCTGCATAGGCGCTGTGATAGGCCTGAATGTAGAGGGCTTCATCCTCCTCGTACTCGCGATCCTCGAACAGCATCTCACCCTCGTGAAACTCACTCTCCGAAGACTCCTCTTCCTCGGCATCTTCCTCGTCGTATTCGTCAACGTCGTTGTTGCCTTCGTCTTCCGGGTGGATGACGGGGTAGTGCTTCGCCGCCTGTGCTCCAAGTTCCGCGCCCGCTGCCTGTGCCAAGAGCTCAGGTCGATCGAGAGGTCGAAGAAGTGCCGCAATCTGATCGAAGGACAGGAGCTGGTGTTGTTCTCGAAGTGCCATCAGCTCACGTTGCCACTCGGTCAGATTTGCATGTCTCAGCAAAACTCGTCCGGCCACTCTTTCGCACAGCCGCTCCTGGAGATGACTCTCCATTTCTTGCCTTGCGACCTCCTTGTCAGCCACATAAGTGGCAAAGGTCTCGGTCTTTCCGCGCTTTCCCGTGTAGAAGAACTTGTCGATCGAAGTAGGTCCGGCCACCTCGAGATATGGCTTGTACTTGGCCATCAAAGCCGTGAGTATCATGCCATATCCCTTCTCGCTGTTCATGGGAACCTGATCAGCTATCTTCCTTGGCTGAGAGCCTTCAGGGAAGCTCTGGTAGAGACGCAGGCCCCAGCGATCTCGGGCCAGCGTGGTCTCCGATTCCCAGTACGCTAGCAATTTGAGCCACGAGCGCATGGTGTTGGGTTGACCCGACCAACTTGGTATGTTCTTCTTTTCGCCCGTGATGGCCTGGATAAAGCGCTCGCCCTGGTCCACCTGTGGCTGCCGAAGGTGTGGAGCTTGAAGTCCAAGCACCTCAAAGGCGCTCGCAACAGACTTGCCTGTTGACGGCGGCGCTCCATAGTCCAAACTTGAAGCTGCTGCAGCTGCGGAGTTCAAGGCATTGGGCATTTGAGCTCCATGGCTTCCATTCCTCGTCTCCTGAGGCGGTGTGGAGTTGCCAAAACGAGTTGCCGAAGGAGATGTCCAGGGGTGGGAAGTAGTCGGAGGCGATGGGCTCGTGAATGGCAATGTCCCGGACGTCGTCAAAGTACCTGGCCACGCCGCGGCGCCAAACGTTCCTGACAAAGGACCTGTCCCGGGACCCGTGAACGAAGTCGGCATGGGTTGACTCGAACTTGCTTGAGCAAAATTCGGCCCTTGACCTAGCCATAGATTCCCTTGGGGAGTTCCAGTCGAAAGCAAAGGTACAGCTCTCTCACTCTGTCGGGGTTCTCCATGATCTCTCCCTTGGGGAAGTGGAGGTCCATAGCTTATCGGCGGACCACCTTGCATCATGGCCCATGCAGAGCGCGAGCTGGCGTCTTCAAAACCTGAGGAAGCCCTTCCCGGAAGGGGTAGTCGCATCGAAGAATTCCATGTCCACGTAGGCGTCGGTCGCCCAGCGCCGCTGCTTGCGTCGCGGTCCCTCCGCGAAATGTAGTCCGCCCACGGGTCGAACTCCATGGCCCTGGAAGCTCTAGCAGAGCTCCGCTACCAACTGACAGCAAACAGGCATGCAAAGCAATGCCTTCTTTTCTACTGCTGCGAAGCCACAACTCAAGGCCTGCGAGGCACAATCCAAGACTGTCCCTGGGTTTGCACATGCAAGCTTCAGAGGGTTTAGGGTCTAGAGTTAGGGTTCAGGGTAGCTTTCAGCTCAAGCTTGAAAACCTTCACGTCTGAAGTCTGGCTGCGCACAATCCGGACCTATCCCCTAAAATCCCCTAACCCCAAGCCCTCAAGGTTGAACCGGAAGCCGTAAACCCTAAACCAGCAGCCCTGACACCTAAACCTTCCGCAAACCCTCAGCCGTAAGCCAATCGTAAGCCCTGCGGTAAACACTAAGCCCTCAGCCAACAGTCGATACCCCTATGAGCTCCCAATCACATACCCTGCACCCTACAACCAGAATAACTCTAAGTAGAAGGGTTTAGGGATTAAGGTCTGAATCCTACGCCCTAAAACCTAGACCCTACAAACCTAAAGCCCGAAATCTTGCACCACATTTCCCTTCCCTTTAAGCTACAGCAGATCCTGGCGCACGACTGAAGAGGGCTGTTGCACTTGTCGCGCAGCAGGCGGATCCTGGAAAGTCCCCTCCCTTTTCGAAAAGTTTAAGGTTTTGGTTAGGGTTCAGGGTTGTGGCTCAAGGGATTTCAAGGGCTAGGGTTTAGGGCTGCTAAAGGGGATACCTCATTGTCGTGGTTTCTTGTCTCGCGAAATCGGAGGTGAAGGGCGAATGCATTCTCCTGAATCCCAAATTTAGCGGAACCATTTCAAGTCTGAGAAGGCCCTCAGCTTACTGGGTGAATATATTATCCGCCGACCTTGGGGGGCGTGTTGGATGGTTGCTGAAGGCGGAGAGGGTGAAAATCTCTTCCTTTCTCTTGGCAATGCGGGGGGTGGGGGGGGGGGTAGGGGGGGTATGCCGGCATCGTTTCCCTCCAGGTCCCCACCTCCGAAGCAGCCGTTTCAGCCGACACCCACGCCTTCGCCAGGCTCCCACCAGGAGGTTTGCGAAAAAATCGTAATTTGAGAGGTTTGGGTGGTTTTTGTGGGGAAAAGGCCCCAGGCCCCTG